CTTGGCCTGCTGTGTTCATCCAGCTCTACACCGTGTTATCTAATATTCTCAGCAAATCTGTGCAGTGAGAAACAGAGTTGAAGTTTCAGAACTGCCAAAGTCAAGGCATCCAGGTTGTTTACCTTTCTGTATTTCTGTCGGATTCACTCACACATTCGATTCTACCCTTGAGTGACTGTCTGTGTGGAGTTTGCACATTCTCCCCATGTCTGTGTGGGTTTCCTCCGGGTGCTTCAGTTTCCTCCCACAGTTCAAAGGTGTGCAGGTTAGGTGCATTGGCTACGCTAAATTGCCCATGGTATCCAGGAATACGTAGGTTAGGTGGACTAGTTGTGGGGAATGCAGGGTTACAGGGATAGGGTAGGGAAGTGTGTCTGCGCAGGATGCTCTTCAAAGAGTCAGTGTGGACTTGTGGGCTGAATGGTCTGCTTGCACGTTGTAGGGATTCTATGAATATTCTTTTATGTTGTTTCCTTTAAAATGCTCCTCCCCTCCCCCACCACCTTCCAACGTGAACAAGCTGAACAGATTTGTACTCACTAAATCAGAACACCAAGTGAAACGAAAGCCATTGAATGGTTTCCACATGCTACACTGAGACTTTGAGGCATGTTGACCAGCCAACCAAAACTTTGACATTGATACTGCCCTTGTTTTCAGTCAGAAGATTGTGTTTCCTACTCTTCATATAGTTACACTCAATTGATGACAACCTTGCATTAACATCTTCTCCCTTGCTGGCATCAAAACTCCTCCCTCTTAGCCGGAACAAAAGCTGTTGACATTCAATTGCAAAAAAGCCATGATGTGACTGTCAATGGAGATGGGATTTTGAACATAGTTTAAGCAGTTGTGAGGCTATCGTTCCAATGTTGTAGTTACAAGTAACTAGGTTACTGTAAAAGTGTTACAGAAATGTTCCATTTTCCCCTCCCCCATGATCTATGAAGTTTTATATTCAGATACAAACAGTGGGATTGAAGAGCCTGACAATGAATGGAATGTGTCAAAAACACATGGATTATTTGTGGGAGGCAATTTGTTTCTTTGTGATTTTGCAGTCACAAAATGTCAGAACTGAAAATTGCCACCTTCACTCAACCACACAGAATGGAAAGTGGAAAAAGAAAAATTGTCAATCCTGGGGGGAAAGAAAGTCGGAATTCAAATGTAAACAATTTAACAAATAATAGGAAACATAACTTCCAAAGACCAGATTTCACCTAAGGAAACCTTTGAAGTGGTGGCACATCAAATTGAAAGAGAAGCCGCATAATGTCAAAACTGGACTCATCAGGAGCCTTCACAGGAAAGGCTGTTTTGGAAAGCTATGATTGTATAAGAAGCGCGTGTTGAGCTCAGTTGGCAACGTGTGTCTCTTTGCCAGAGGTTTGTGGATTCCTGCCCCGATTCCAGAGACTGAAAAGTATAAGCAAGGTCGCACTTATACACCCGTGAAGGAGGGCTGCGCTGTCAGACAAAGATTCAGGTGTTTTATGTACACCAGACTGCTGATCCAAGAAAATTGATTTTATTCCTCCAATGAAATTAAAAATTCTAGAATTTATTTCCAACAATGAGTCCTCAGTGTAATGAAAGGGAGAAAAAAGATGGAAAGGAATTTTCAGGATCTATAGAGAATGGCTTCACTGGGGCCATCTCGGTTTTTTTGCTATTTCTGGTTGATTGGTGACTGTTCATTTGTGATTATTTTTGAACTTTGCAATTGATAGTTCCAATTCTTATTTTTCAACTTTGCATTTAGTATATTCCCTACCAGTTGTTTTAGGAAAACACAACTTGAGGAAAGTCATGCACAAAAGTGACACAAATTTCCATGTGGCACACCTAAAGGGTGATGACCAAATTGCAGGCCAGGTGGAACACGTTTACAAATATTGCAGATTGGTTCAATACAAGACAAATTTTCACGTATTGCCGTTGACGTTGCTGTTTCTCTTTGCTGCCAGAATAACTTTCAAACTATTTTGCATCCTCTGCTGGTCATGACATGATACCTCAGTTATGGAACATTAGTTGATGCTTCTGTTACAAAATTAACTGTCAATGAATGGACAAAGCAAAAGTAACCTGTCCAAGATTGTGCTGTCAGCTGTTGTGTATAGTTCGCTTTTTCAAATAATAAATAACAAGCTCTTTGCTTTTTCACAAGATTATGGAAGCATTTGGATCTCCTTCTTTTGGAGTTTGCTGTTATTTTTGTATTCAGCTCCTCACCAATTGTGTTTTATAGTTGCTATCGACTTCATGGCAAACGGACTAACGATAACTGAGTGGAAATAGTGAATAAAGTACCAATTTTGGGTAAAGATGTTGGGAAAACTTAACCCTTTTCTCAAAGCAGAGTCCAACCTATTCCTTCAATTTTACCGTACTCCTGTGAAATGTTACATGCTGGAATGCTTCTTAGAACACCCAGAGCCTTCTCCAATTAATGTGTCAGTAAGCTTTCTCTATTGCATTGTCAGTGTTAAATGCACACTGTCAACATTAATCCTGTTCATTGTGTTTAATTTCATTGTAGCAAACATCTTTTATGTAATAGGTTTTTGTAAACAGTGTCATTAGCCCTGTGTTTCCTCTAAACTGAAATAATAGTTTAGAACTTACATGGAAAATTCTAACTAAACTTTATTTGATCAAATTTAACACTGGATTCATAAAACCCTGAAGTCCTTGTTAAACTGCTTTGTATAGTTTCTTTTTGTGATTCTTTCATGGTCGGAAAGAATCATTCTAGGACAGAATTTATAGTTCTTCCATAAATACCCTTCAGAAGGCAGTGGTGTGCTGCCATTTCAAAGATCATTGAATGATTTATTACACAATTTCACTGTTAAGAGTCAACCATATTGCTTTAGGTCTAGAGTCACAGACTGGAGAAGGAAGGCAGATTTACAACAATTTACTAGTTTTATGGTCACCATTACTAATATTAGCTTTATTTTCAGCCTTTTTCCCGTGCTGCCATGATGGCATTTGAGCTTGTGTTTCCAGATTAATAGCCCAGGTCACTGGATCATCAGTCCATAGATAGTAGGAACTGCAGATGCTGGAGAATCTGAGATAACAAGGTGTAGAGCTGGATGAACACAGCAGGCCAAGCAGCATCAGAGGAGCAGAAGGCTGATGTTTCGGGCCTAGATACAGAGTAAAGCTCTCTCTACACTGTCCCCCCCATCAAACACTCCCAGGACAGGGACAGCATTGGGTTAGGTACAGAGTAAAGCTCCCTCTACACTGTTCCCTCCTCCCCCGCCTCATCAAACACCCCCAGGGCAGGGACAGAACAGGTGAAGTACTGAAGGACTGGAGTGTGGCTAATTTTGTGCCATTGTTAAGAAAGGTTGTAAGGAGAAGCCTGGAAACGACAGACCCGTGAGTCAGATATCAGTGGGTAAGTTGTTGGAGGTGATTCTGAAAGAGAGGATTAACATGCATTTGGAGAGGCAAGGATTAATTAGGGATAGTCAGTGTGGTTTTGTGCAAGGAAAATCCTGTCTCCAGGCCCAAAACGTCAGCCTTCCTGCTCGGCCTGCTGTGTTCATCCAGCTCTACACCTTGTTATCTCGGATCATCAGTCCGTTAACATCAGCATGGTAATATTGCAACCTTGACCATAATAACTTTGTGACTTGTTAATGAAAACATACAGTGTAGCGACCAATGTTCAATAAAAATAAATCATAACTAAGATTTCTGTGACCAGTGTAATTTGTAAAGGAAGCAATATTTACTATCTGATTGTCATTCAATAATGGAGTCTGATCTATATGTATAGTATGTGCACAGGATTTTCAATATTCAGCCTATTTTTACCAATCTAGAACACATAACTGTCTAGTCTCTCAGTTTCAGCATACCTTATAGATAGGACAAAATCATCCCACTGCCTGTTTCTGTTTAAGCTGACATTGGCAACTGAAGGAGTTACAAGGGCAGCTGGTGCAATCACTGCTACTGCCTTGTTGCTGGCTTGTACAATAAGCAACACAATACCAGTACAGAAGACAACATCAACAAGTACATGATGTGTTACCTGACTGTACAACTGGGGATAAGAGAGTAACTGAACTACATTTACACCAATTATCTCAAATTTCTATCAAGCAGGTAATAAATGCTGTGCACGTGGAGAATTGCAATCGCCTGGCAAAAAAAAATTGCACAGCGTGCATCATGCAAAATCCTACCTTTGTATGTCAGAGTTGAAAAGAAATATAATGATCTTATCTGAGCAAATCTTGTCCGTTCATTCCGAGAAGCGTAAGAATCCTGCACAGATTTCTTCAACTACCTTTTCAGCCTGATTTCCTGAAATATGATCATTCTGAGCAACAGTACTCTCGCTCTCAATCTGTTAATCATATGAGATCTCCAAGTGTGTACACATACCTCCTAATGTTGCCATGTCACTCTTAGTAACTGCATGACCAATCTGATGAGTAAACAAACACAGGAGGCAGCAAACCATAATCCAGGGCTTCATAATCATAAATCCTTTTAATCCATCTTCCACAACTTAAATGCCACTATTTTCATGAAAGCTTTGTCATTAGACAAATTTGAAAAGATTGTCATTTTCACTCATGTGGCCTTTTTTTAAAAAAAAATGTACCTATTTCCCACTTCTAAAACATGACAGTGGGCAATTTGTTGTACAACAATTAGTTGTAGTACCTTATTTTGATGAAGTTTAAGAGCTTTAATAAGTTGCTCGTTAAACTGCTCCGCCACTGGATTTCAAACAGGATTTACAGAAGCTTTTTAAAAATAATTAACCATGTGATTATTGTGACAAGTGAAATTCACATATAACTGCAAAACATAACAACACTGGCATGTCACAAACTGAAAGAAAATTAAGCTGTCAAAAATAACTCTGCACCAGATGTCATTGCTTGAAAACTGGAGAATAAGGAAATAAAAAGCAAAGTAAAGCATAATTAAAACTCTTATTCTTTATAAAAATCTATTCAGGTTCTTACTATTAGATAGAACTATGAAGGGGGTTGAGCTTTTCTTTTAGAGCTGAAGTTTCTATTAGAGCCTGTTTGTTCCTTTGCAAAAATTGACCATTCACACAGCATCCAATATAGGAAATTGCAATTCTTATAATTGATTTCACAAATTTCTCAAGGTTTTGATCAAAGTCATTAGAAAGAATACAACTCACTTTGCGAGGATATAGGAAAATATTATACTTTATGCATCATCCATCCTAATGCAGAGACTTCCTCCCAAGCCCACCCCCTTACTAATAACCTCCATCAGCTCCCACTCCAGATATTTTGGCATCCCTTGACAAAGTTCATTAAATTGGAACTAGTCTGCATTATCTCATCGAAGTGACATTTTTCACACCATGGAAAATGTCACTGAATGCCAGCAAACTCTATAATCATCTGGGAGATCAGACCGAATCTCAATCTGTCGTCATCTAATTTCCACCGTTCCTACTTGTCTACTTTCCAAGAGTCAGTAAATATGGTCAGAAATACCTCTGACTGATTCTTCCATTCTTAGCCTAGGGTTCCACGGTCAACTGGAATATTCCCATCTTGTCCAAGTTAACTCCCCATCCCAATTAATAATTTCTTCAGGGAACAATCATTCAAGGAAGAAAGACTTGCATTTACATTCCTTTTCACACCCTTAGAAAAATCTAAAGAGCTTTGCAGTCCATGAGGTACGTTTGAAGTGCTGACACCATCTTAATTGAGGAAATGTGGCAGCAATTTGCACACAGCAATATCCAAAGAGCAATGTGAGAATAACCAGATCATGAGGCATTTAGAGCGATATTGTTTTTAAGACAAATATTGGCCAGGACACGGGGCGAAGTCACCTGCTCTTCAAAACAGTGCGATGGGGGGGGTTTAATGTCCACTTAAAGGGGCAAACTGGCTTAACATCTCAGCTAGAAACTGTCACTTCAAACACTGCAACAAATACTGGAGTACAACTGACATGCTCTGCACATTTCAAGGACTGAGGTATGAACCCACAACCACCACGTAAGCACACTGAGCCACAGTAAAAACAAAGATTAGTTGTATTTTTTTTGAAATGTATCATAAACATGAGGACATCACAGCATACCAAATGTGTTTCACTGCAGTGAGCTTACAACTTCATCTTTTCTCTCTTCTTCATAGCATGAAGAAAGGCAAAACAAAATGCTTTCAAACAAGAAAACCTGCTGTTACAAATCTCAATCAATAACTTCATCTGCACAGTTAGAGCCAAGAAGAAAATAAATACTATTATCAGTGTATTTATAGGGCAAGTGTGAATGATACATGAATTTCCTTGATAATCTACTTTTCACAGTGTCAGCCACAGTCTTTGCTAACAGCTTATTTGAATCATAAAATCTTACTGCAGCATGGAAGGTTATTCTACAACAAAATCAGAAATTGCTAGAAAAGCTCAGCAGGTCTGGCAGCGACTATGAAGAGAAATCAGAGTTAATATTTTGGGTCCAGTGACCCTTCCTTAATGGTCCCTTTGAGGAAGGGGCACCAAACCCGAAATGTTAGCTCTGATTTCTCCTCACAGATGTTGCCAGACCTGCTGAGTTTTTCCAGCAATTTCTGTTTTTGTTTCTGATTTACAGCATCCGCAGTTTTTTTTATTCAGAAGGCTATTAAACCTGTTGTATGTTGAAACTGTCCAATTTAGTCCAATACCTAGCTATTTCCCCCTAAATTTAATTTTCTTTAAGCAAACAGTAACTTACTAATAGCAATTGCCTATGGAAACGTATATCACTCTCTTGTCATGCTTGCAGATCATAACGATTTTCTGCCCGAATACAGTTTATTAAGCACAAACTTTCCGTATACTGGTCCGTATACAGTTCTAGTGGTGGGGAGTAGTCACACTGGATTATGACATATGTATACTCTAAATGTGTGGGAGAAAATTGAACATGAAAATGTGAAATAACCAAATATGGTCAGTTTCTGAAAATTTTTAATTTCAGTGAATAAGCATATGTTATCACAATCAGAATTCAGTATTGCTGAAATTGGTATTTCCCAATTTTAAGCCAGAGCATTTCAGCCAACACTTATAAAGATAAATGTTGCAATAACCAGCAACTATGATCCTGTTCAGTTTTAAACAAATTACCTTTACTGCAGAGGTTTTCTCGTATTAAATCATGATTAAAAGCACAGTGACCTGATTATTAAATATAATCAGCGATCACTGAACATACTAATGATCTTTGTATACAACTTAATGCCAGGGAAGCAGGGCAGAAACTAAACACAATCCCAGAGAAATCACAATTTAATACAGTACATTAAACTAATTCTAAACAGAGTATGAGCATAATCTCGCTTGTCACTCTCGTATTGTACTGAGAGTTATATATTGTCAGAGGTGTCATTCTTCAATAGATCTGTTAAAACCCCTCACTTCTCTCATAGGTGGATGCCAAACATCCAATGGCACTATTACAAAGACATGCGGGAGAGTTCCTCCCAGTGGCCTCTTGACTAATATTACAATCGCAGATAAGATTATCATCATCATCATCATCATGTTGTACCTCTCCTACATTGCAACAGTGACTACAATTGTGAAATATTTCATTGAATGCAAAGCACTTTGCAATATCCTAAGGTCATGAAAGCTGCTACCCAAATACAAGCGTTCCTTTCTTGGTTGCATTTTGTGGTGCAAAGAGCTCAAATATGCTCTTTAATGATATAACAGCACTGAGGAAAGGAGGTGGGGCTCTACCCAGCCCTCAGTAGGGTCCAACTTCCAGAGTGGGTACTAGCTGCTGAAGACAGCAGAGGCTCAGGGCCTGTCCTGTTGCAGCCAGGTGACACCATGTCTGTGCATTAGCTCGACCATATTTTGTTTGAATAATCGCTCCTTTCCTTCTACAGTAGATATACCCAGACACATTTACTCTACACTTCTTAATCATTTGTTACAACCTTGCATAAAATGTAGCAGAAACAGTGCAAATTGTGACAAGTTGAGACATGAAGTGGTATTATAACTGCCAGTGATATTACTCTAATCAAACTGTTCAGTGATGTTGAAGCCATAGATTGAGCCCAGGCTTCCTAAACTAAGAGGTAGCAACACTAAGACTGCACAACAGCCCATACTGCCTGTCGTGCACACTTGTAGATATGAAAGCAAGTACTAACTGAAGTGATAACAACGTAGCAAATAGGAGCAACATTGTGAACAACATACATAACTAATGACAAAACCGATCAAACAAACCACCTTACCCTTAACCATTGGACACCAATTCATGATGGATTCAGGAATGTAGGATACTTGTGCCATGAATATTTACACATCTGTGCAAAGTGAGGACCATAATATTATCATCTAATAAGATCACAAAAGGTACCTGAGACCGAATGGAACAAGGGACCCCACTGCATTAATTAAGGAAAAGTTGAGTATGAATGTGACATACATATGGGAAGCTAGTAACCGGTGGGGCAAGAGATTTTAGAGTGTGTTTAACTAAAATAAACCTCTCTCAAAGTGTGGAACTCTGACTCTGTTTAAATAGTTACCTTCTAGTGTATAATACATAAATTCCCACACATGCATGTTTGTTCTACTGAAACTTAAAACTGAAAACAACAAAAATTAATTGTGCACAATCACAATTATAAAATTATGTTTATAATGATCATTCTCTGCATAACGCTGACTGGTTACACAGATTGTATAGCAACACAAGGCATGCTGCTTACAAATAACAAAGAAACCTAAAAAAATGCATTACACTACATGGATTTTTAGTCAAAGTGAAAGAAGTCACTTAATTTATTTTAAAATATGTTTTGTAAAGACTGGCAATAGCCCCTCAGAAAATACTTGGACTCTGGCATTACATCAACATAGTAAATAGCACATGTTCTATCCAACAACTTTTTGAAAATTCTGAATTAACTGGAGAAAATTGTGAAGTAAGGATTCAGGGTTGATATGGCATCCTCCATGCCTTCCTGATGTTTCAAAACATTTTAAACTGACTGAGTGCTTTTGAAGTGTAATCACCATTGCATTACGGAAGATTACAGCAGCAACTGAAAATTCCCATCTTGCATGGACAGTTGATTATACTGCGGAAAAGGGCACTAATCATTTGCCATTACCACAGACTTCAATTACAAAGGTTCCACAAAGACATCAAGTCGACTGAGTATTTTTGACTATTCCAACAAGCTCTTAACTGCACTTGTCAATTTCAAATGATCGGCAGAGTCCATGTACAGATGCTCACTCTAAGTAATATAATGTTACCTTATTATGGAGTCAGTAATCCTTTCACAAAGATGTATTTTCACAGCATTGTAATTCAAGTCATGCAATTTTAACATGAAAGCCTACATGGCACCACCAAATGCACTGAAAGACTGCAGGAAAATGAAAAATTTCCTTGACTATTGGTCTACTGATTAAATACAACAAGGTCAAAGACAGTCTTTCAGATACAAAACAGAAAGTGCTGGAAAAACTCAGCAGGTGTTACAGCATCTATCGAGAAAAAACAGATTTAACGTTTCTGGTCCAGTGACCTTTTTTCGTAATTGTTCTGCTTTTGTTGCATATTACCAGCATCCACAGTTATTTGTTTTATTTTAGTGTCTTTTAGGTACAAGATTCTCAGAATATCAGTACAGCACTTGGCTATTGCTCCCACAGGTTACTTCTGGCATCCCAACCTTGCGATGTTTTAAAAAGCAGAGCTATATCATTGACCAGTGAAACTCTGTTACAAAATACGTATTCAATATTTAACTGCTGTTGAAACAGTGTAATGCTACACAACACCTTTGATTCTTCAAGAAAATCAATGACCCCCATCTGTAAGCACTTGACATAGGTGAGCAGCAAGTACAGATTCAGTGTCAACTAGTGAAGATGTTGTTGAATGGAAAAAAAAAATCTATACTTTGTATCTTAAAATGTTTAACGAACTTGATTTTACAGCATGCTACTAAACACTTGACAGTCAAAGAATTACTTCAGAATGCAATCATTATTTATATGTGCAAACCCAGTAGACAATGTGATGACAAGGATCGACAAACAGAAATGAGACAAATGATCATAAGCTGTTTTGGCTTATGCAAGTAGACAGATAAAAATCTTGGTTTAAACTTTCAACTAAAAGCCCAGAGGTCTTTAATACTTACTAAAGCACTGCTCAAGTTATATTCTAAAATCTGAAGGAAATGCCTGACCTCCAAATTCAAGAAGTGAGGATGGAGACATTGTGCGAAGGCTGACAAGTTCTCAACAGCGCATAAGGTTAAACAGATTGAACTTTTGAATATGTAGTGAAACTTCAATTTTGCTTAAGTAGTAAATTTCACATTGTCAAAAATGTCATATGTGCCTCATTCTTGATCATGTTAGTATTTTTGTTTACAAGTTGTGTGCAATAATTCTACAAAGAGCTAATTATATTTAACTCTTTTTAATACAAAATGGTCACAAATCCATATTTCCTCTTAAAAAAAAATAGTAAAGCCATTTGTCCAAAAAAACAAAGTCATAATTGTACAAATTAAAAGGTAGTATTTATACATACAATATTGAAAGCACAACAAAATATACCAGGTTCAAAAAAATAAAACCACATGTTGCTATTAAATCTAACTCCATTGAGTCTATTTAGAAATATCTGGAGATTAAAGCCTTATGTTATTTTCTCTCCGTCACTTTCTCTCAGATGTGCACAAGGTTTGATACCAAACAGGTACATTCTGCCTGCATATCAAATCAGTTAAGACACAATCCAGCACAGAAAAAAAACACTTTAAATGAAGTTCAAGACAAGTTAAAAAGGAAAAAAAAAACCTGCCATTCGTACTCAAAAACTGAAATAGTGATGGCATCACTAGCATTTTAGGAACTTCCAACAAGAGATTTAAAATTGAATTATACTAAATCAAAAACCCTTCACATTTCATGAAGAATATAATCTCGTGTAATGTCACTGGTAAGATCAAATGGTCAGAGTGAGTCACAACAGACTTAAAAGTGACCAGTTAATACCACCCCCCATCCCCACGACAGTTTAAACTGGCTATAAAACCCAGCGCGTGCTGTACTTGTACAAATAACTATTGGACCGTAACCATATAGCAACATTCAGTTAAACACAGATCAAATGCAGCATGTAAAGATGCAAGGTGGCCTCAAACACCATGAGCAGGCACAGCTGCTTTGTTGTAGTATTGATTCTTGTAAAAAAATTACTGCGAACTTCTGGAGCAAAATGCTCTCAATGCTCCCGTATGTCCATGTTCTTCAAACCCGGATCATGACAACTGCAACTGTCGAAAGATTCTTTAATAATCCTGTGTAAATAATTTTAAAAAAGTAAAATTAAATCAAAGATCAAAGTATTGTTAGCTGTTGCAACAAGGCACCAAAGTTCAGACCAGATAAATGAGCAGGGAACCAAGGTTCAAAAATTTTACATTGAAGCATTGATAAAAGCACTGAAGCTCAAATTTGAGTGTAAAACAGTCAATATATATTTGATTATATCACTAATCTGAAGATTAATTTCATAATTAGATACTCAATTTTACTAAATCCAGTCTGGACTAGGCTCCTTCTGTCCAGATCCTATTTACATTTTAATGCTAAAGCAAGAAAATCTCACCTGTGTACATTTTACTTTCAACTCACATGCAATATACATCTTGGTATAAAATTTATTATATTAACATATTTTAACAACATGTGCAGAACAGCACTCAATACTTTCCCCAATGCAGTTAAGACAAAGGACAACACATTGAATTTCAACATTACTCCTTCCATCCAGAGAGAGAGGTCTTCAACTCACCAACTCCATAGAACACAGAGGTCTCTCTGCTGGCCATAGAGACCTGTTGCAAAGAAGTTTTCCATATCAAAGAACTTTTTTCACTTAACATAACAAAATACCTGGTCTGTCCATTACAGGAGCATTTTGGATTAGGTCCTCATCTTAAATTACTACCATGACAATCAATTATTATGCTTCAATATCTACAGCAGCTTCACTAACTTCACTGTTATTCTAGAATGTTGAAAATGTACAGCAATAAAAATCAAGTATAAGTTGTACTCACAGTTCTTGGTTTTTTATTCAACTTGATATCAATCCTGTAATTAAACAGAAGCATTAAACCTTGGAAAGCAGCATTATCTCCTTTAAAGTCAAAACACTTACCATTTATTGATATAGAACAGGAGCACATAGCAACAAACCACTTTAGCTTCAGGAGTTTATTTTCCTGTCTTGTCTAAGTAAATGAGCACTAAGTAGTCACCTTTCTGCAACTGGTTACTTTACTTCCCTGCCTACTGGTACTGTAGGAGCACCTATACCATGTAAACAGCATCATTTTCAGAAGGTGGTTCAAGCCACCTTCTCAAGGACAACTAGACATGGGCAACAAATACTGGTCTTTCCAGCAATCCAACAAAGAACAAAAATAACTCCCCAATGCTCAACTTACCAATACTAAAAGACCCTTTTAGAAACTGATGCTGAAAAACATTTCAAAGCGACTGCTTTCCATATTAACATTTATTCAATCCAATACGAAGAGAAAACATCACCATTCCTGGACCAACTACCAAGCCTAAGTACTCCTCTGGGTTTGAGAAAGGGTTGTTCTCCGGCTTATAACTTATGCGACAGGTAAAGCTCAACATCAGGAAGCAGGGAAAGGAGGAAGGTAGTGATATCTATCACACCTATGGCTAGAGCTGAAAAACATAAAAGTTGTAATTACTGTGCATTGTGTAGTCTATAGGACACTAAATGGTTTGGAGAATGTGGAGGAACAAATCCAAAAGGAAATTACAGAATGCAAAGAATGGGTATTGTGGCAAACATCAATTATCCAAAAGTAAACTATGATAATTGGTACTGTAAAGAGCAAAGAGGATAAGCATTCCTAGACTGTGTTCAGGAGACTTTTCTACAGTACTATGCATAGAATTCAACAAGAAAGGAGGCAATGCTTGACCTAGTTGAAGTGAACCAAGTAAATCAATTGTCAGTGGCAGAACATTATTAGGACAGTGATCATAATATCATAAGATTTAGGATGATGGTGAAAAAGAACAGGGAACAAACCAGAATAAGAATAATTATCTGGGGGAGTGATGGCTTCAACTGCGCAACAAACAGAGCTGGGTGAGATAGACAGGGGCAAAAAGCTGACAGGAAAATCTAGCTAAAAGAAAAAATATTTCAGACACAATCAAGTTTCTTCCTTCAAAAGGGGTAGAATGGGCAATCAAATCCAGGATGAAGAAATAGATAAAAATTAAGAAGAACAAGTAGACTTAAGACAAGTGTCTGGTAGATAATACAATTGAGAACCAGGCTCTTCAGGAAGGGTCAGAAGGAAGGTGAAAAAACAAATAAGAGAACCAAACAGGGATCATGAAGAAAGACTGGCAGCTAACATCATAAGGAATTTGAAAGGCTTTTGCAGGCTCATCAATGGTATTAGGAGGAGTTGGGATTATTAAGGCCAAAAAGGGATTTACATGTGGAGGCAGGGACATGGCTGAGGTATTAAATGAATACCTTGCATCTGACTTTACTAAGAACGCAATGCTACCTAGGCTATGGTGACAAAAGAAGACATTTAGTCACTAGAACAGTTCAAAACTGATATGGAGGTAGCACTGGTAATTAAAGTAGATAAGGTACAGAGACCAGATGAGATGTATTCACAGATACAGAAGGAAATGAGAGTGGAAATTGCAGAGGCACTGCTATATTTCTTCAGTCTTCTTTGGACACAACAGTGGTGCCAGATGCCTAGAGAATTGCAAACATTACAATCTTGCTTAAAAAAGTTTTAAGAATAAGCTCAGCAATTATAAACCAATCAGTTTAACATTGTTTCTTGAGGTTTTCCTACCACTAATACTTTGGAATAAAATTCATGGTTACATGGGTAAATGTGTGTTAATAACAGATAAACACCATGGAGTTAAGGGGCAAAAATCATGTTTAAAAATTGCTGTGATTTTTGTAGCGGTAACAAAGACATGGTCAGGATAATGATAACACACTGGAGCTGGAGGAGCACAGCAGGCCAGGCAGCGTCAGAGGAGCAGGAAAGTTGACGTTTCGGGTCAGGACCCTTCTTCAGAAATGGGGTCATGCTGTGCTCCTCCTGCTCCACACTGTGTTATCTCTGACTCCAGCATTGGCAGTTCCTACTATCTTTTAGTGAGGATAATGCTGTTGACGTGGTGTAGGCAGACTTCCAAAAGGTATTTAATACAATGCTACACAACTGACTTGTAACAATTGAGTCCACAGAATAAAAGGAACAGTGGCATCCTGGATGGAAAACTGACTGAGTAAGGACAGACAAAGTACAATGGGTAACGGATGTCTTTTTGGCTAGAAGGTGGTTTGTAATGGCGTTTCTCCAGGGCTAAGCGGGGGACCCATCACTTTTCCCACAAAAAGTTAATGATCTAGACCATAGTCTATAAGGGACGATTTAAAAGTTTGCAAATGATTGAAAACTTGGAACATTTGTTAACCATGGAGGACAATTTAATGCTTCAAAAGGACATTGACAGGTTGGTGGACTGAGCAAATAGGAGGCACTTGAAGTTCAATGCAGAGAATTGAGTGATAATACATTTTGGTGGAAAGAATATGGAGATACAGTATAAACATTGTTTTCGATTTTAAAGGGTGTGCAGAAGCAGAGACGTAAGTAAAAGTTATGAGGAAAGATTGGAGAACTAAGGATTGTTTTTCATGGAGAGGAGCTGGCTGGCTAAGAGGAGATTTGATTGAGGTTTTCAAAGTCACTAGAGGTATGGACAGTAGATACGTGAAGCCAATCCCACTCACAAAGGGATTGTGAACGAGAAGGCACAGATTTAGAAGAAATTTGCAGAAGAAGCAAATGCACTGCAAGAGAAATCTTTTCTGCACAGTGACCAGTTAGGGTGTGGAATGTACTGTCGAGAGGTGTGGTGGAAGCAGGTTCAATTGAGACATTCAAGAGGGCATTGGATGATTACTTGAATAGAATCAAAGTACAGGGTTATGAAACAAAGGCAGGAAAATGGCACTAAGCATAATGTGCAATGGACTGCTGGTACAGATGCAATGGCTTCGTAACAATTCTGTGATTCTACAGATTTCTTAATGGCCATTTTACCTTTGACAGCAAGTTAATTTTCGGCCAAATCATGACTGTGAATACATATCCATCAAGAAATAAGTCAACACAATTACATTTCATTTATTGTCAATGGAGAAAGAAAATTTCCACTTCATTAGTTTCAGCTAAAATTTGGTTTGAATGTTGAACAAGATGCAAACCACTGTGATTAAGTACTTCAAAAGATAGAAGAAACTTTAGGATTTGTTGTGAACCTGTAGAGAATTTTCAATTTCCAAAGTCCTATCAGCTTTCTAAATTTACAACATAGTCCTACGTTTTCCATTTGAATATCTTTATACTTAACAGACTGAGGGTCTCTTGTGGCAGAAATTCTGAATTGTAGATTTATTATGAATCTATGGATTGCTGCAGTACTTATATTACATTACTGATGAGAAACTTAATGGCTGAGTAAATGAGTGCCAGCAGGGCTGAAGTAATACAGTCAACTATACTTTGCTTGGACAGACACCCTACCTGCGAGGAGAAACCACTATCAACAATTACTTCTGCCTACAAACTATTTAATAGATTTAATATAAATTTTAACAAGTGATGTCGTACTGTGACAGCTGTTGAGAACATATCATAAACATCAATTGTTCAGTAATCAACACATTTTTCTAGTTACATGGCCCTAACATACATAGGCAAAAATCCAAACTTACAGCAGCTAGTGGCAAAAGGTACTTTGTAGTACTTTCAAAAATGTCTACAGTCTACACATCACAGTACAAGGGAATACTGGAAAAAACACAGCACATATACTGATAGAAAGCAAACTTACTCAAAGTCATAATCAAACATGCCAGATGGGCTGGATGGCAGCATAAAAGAAGAAAGAAAGCAACAAAGGTTAACATACCAGTTAGCAAACCAGAGTCTCAAACTTTTTGGAACACTATATTTTTAAACAAGATGGGTGAGAGACCACTGGCGACGTGATGAACTTAACGCAGAAATAAATATATTCAAAAATAGTTATTTTTACCTTGACAGTTATAATTTCTTGAAAACAATGATATTTTTGTTTCCTCAAGAAGTTATTACATGGAAACAATGAAGCCTTGTTGAGTTAAACACCCACTTTAATTAAAATACAACAGAGCAGTGGATAGTATACAGCACACGGTTGATGTGCAAGGAGCTGTGCCCTACAAACATATGCCAAACAAAAAATGTTCTTTGTATAATAAAGTAGTCATATTTAATTCAAATGTGCTCTATTACTAACAAGTTGTTCTTTTACTTTCATGATTGTGATCAAAAAGCTTTCTAAGGAATAAGACAGACAAGACTCTTCCACTTTTACCCAGTCATCTCGCAACCTCATGAACTACTGTTGCACAAATTACCTGTGTCGATTTTTGTTTTTCCTTTTCTTGTGACTCCCATGGTGACTGCTAGATGATGTGGAAGAGGCTGCTTTCTGAGGCTTCACTCCTTGCAGATGTGATCCATCCAGTTCCTCAGTGTCCTCCTGGTTAGGTTCATTTTCCTGATTCTGGAAGTCTGGAGAATTGTCACTTTCTGTCCCACTACCTGGTTCACCTAATAATGTGTTTCACACACAAAATGCAGATTAGAAAAGCAGATTTGCTTAAACCAGCGTGATTCCCAAATCATCCCAATATCAAGTAAGAGAAGCAAAGTCAATTGCATAGTGACCTTTAATTATTCAAGTTAAAAACTGTTGCTGAGATGCTTCAGTTTTTAAGACATTATATATATCTCAGAGCATTTTCCAACTTACTTCCAATTGTAAAATAATTCATTTAAACATTTTGTGAAACGGGCTTAATGAAACGTACTATTGACATTACGAAAACTTTGCAAAGATTTTAATATTACTTTATACTCTTATTGTTCCCAATTTTACTGCAATAGTTTTGATTTCACTGACAAGGTAATGAAAACAGCAAATAATAAAACAAAGACTGGAGGATTTCAAAGATGTGTTTAGTTTAACACATTACATGGTGGAACTAATTCAACAGAACATTAACCTAAGCATCTCTGTTCTTCTGTAGCTGGTCCATCGCCCACTCCCCCCTCCTCATTAATATATCTTACAGCAGAAAACCCCAGTACAACATCTAGTTTCAGTCAAATTTCGGGTGGTAAAGTATGTATTATACTCAATAGGGAAGGGTACTTATTTCTAAAACTTACGCTTTTCCACCATTTGGTCTTGAACACCAGTTAAAGCACTCACTGCCTACAAGAGATATGGAATCGTTGTTAAACAATGCACTAAAACTGTGTTTACAAGTATTTTATAATCAAGTACAAGTTTATTTTACTCACTGCTACTGAAGTAACGGATGACTTGCTAAAGAGACGTTCTGCTTCTTTAAATTTCCTATTCCTTCGATCATTCTTACTGTTAGTGTTTCTGAAACAAAACAGAGAAAACCAATGGTCAGGGATGTTACCCAAGGAATTTACACTTTGTGATGATGCTATGATCGCAGCTTCCCTAACCAGCCAGTTGCTAAGTACAGCCCAGGTGTCTCCTAACAGGGAGGAGAAACATCAAAGAGTTACCCTCCATCAACTGCGTAACTACTTGCATTGGCAGATCTTCAGGAGTAAGGTGTCCAATTAAGTGTAATATAGCTTCCACAGGATGAAATGAGTCAAAGAAAATGCAGGGAAAACAAAATATTGATTTTGCTGTTGTAAACATATTTGCACCCGACACTTGTAACTTTCAACTAAAAGAGTAACCATAAAGCCATGTTAAAATACTTCGTGAAATGTGAAATGAGACGTACTGGTACTCCCAAATATTTATTGTAAAATGTTCTACATTCAGAACAAAATGCTACCATTAGCTTATGGCCAACATTACCAAAAATATAAATTCACACAATTCCTTTAATCACAGAGTCAGTAATCTTCGAAGTGTACAACGTTCAATCATGATATTGGCACTACCCTGAGAAGAAACTAACTAAGATTCTCCGAGGAGAACTCTCTCACCCTACAGCAATCTTCAAACTTCTCATGAAGGTACTGAATACTGCTTGGGTGCAATTCTACCTCTTGGTGCCCTCTATTTGTCATTCTTTGACTGTCAGCTCAGGTCGTTAGTGTCAGTAAATTGTTAAATTGTGGGGATTTCAACTGATCCTAGTTCTATGGCTCATGTGTGGAATGAACTGCCAGAGGAAGTGGTGGATACAAGACATTTGGATAAGTACATGAATATGAAAGAATATGGGCCAAACGCAGGCAAGTGGGAGTAGTTTAGTTTGGGAACATGGTTGGCGTGGACTGTTTCCATGCTGTATGACTTTATAACTCTACACAAATGTACGTTCCAGGAACAGTCAGCACATGGTGATCAGCAAAAGTCCTGGCGTACCACTCCCAGGCCTTCACTCAGAGTTGACAAAGCCAACTGTAGCGGTCCCAAGTAGTAACCCAGCTTCAGGTGAGTTAACATGATAAGAATCAGAGACTGATCCAGATTCCACCACAACTCAGCTACGTACTTCGGAGTATGTTTAGGAACAGGTTAATAGAAACACTATTTAGGTGTATTCATTACTTTTTTTTTGAATGTACAGAACTGTCTGCATTTATTTTTGAGATTTCTGAAAGTTCAATGTACAACAGTTGGCCTCAGAAACTAAAAACAAAACTATTTAAATTTACACAACGCAAATTTTTTCGTCCATTTGTTTGAAATGTATGATATAAGCAAAATGACCATTCCAGATGTTCAGCATTAAATTCACAACATTTCAAAAAGCAGACTTTAAAAAGTGAATTAATATTGCCTGTGAATCATACAGGATTGGACTCGAAGATTTGCCAAATTTGTTTAGGTGGAGTCACTTTGACAGCTCCATTAACACAAAGTCAATACACGTACTTCTGATTGGTCAAGTAACGATCCCATCCACGAATGATATTCCCATACATCTGTGTATCTTCCAAATAGCTTCCTTCAAAAGCATAGATCTGACGTTCCAGGTTTGCCAAAGTCTCCTGTGGAAATAAAAGTTACAAAAATATTTATCAAGCTGCTGGGGAAGAAAAATGATCTGCTATGAAGTTTTTTGTACTGTTTATTTCAAAGAATTATGAAAAATGGTTGGACAAAGAAAGAGAATGAATACTTTTTGTTGGGATACACAACAACTGGAGCTAAAATGGTTAGTTTGGAAAATCAGACACAGGAACTGTGATGTACAATTAGCCAGTATTTGTTATTTGCAATGCAATTACAAACTTTGAGTTACAAAGAAAATGCTGGAAAAAATCAACAGGTCTACAGAGAGAAACAGAGTAAACATTTTGAGTACAATAAGACTCTTTAGAATAAACACGTCACCCTGGACTCAAAACTTTAACTCTGCTTCTCTGTCCACAGATGTAGCCAGACCTGTTGAATTTCTCCAGCATTTTCAGTGGTTATTTCAGATTTCCAGAATCCGCAGTATTTTGCTTTAATTTAAAGTTTGTGCTGCCTGCTCATTTGGATTTATTTCTGCGTATAACCAATCATTGCTAATCACTTTGTGCACTAGTTGAATGCATTAGCAGAGAGTCAAAAGCACAAGTTGTGAGCACGTACAAAGCTTGTACTGCACTTTTGTGCACTGGCATTGGAAAAGATGCTGAGAGTCATAGGCAAAGAGCTTCTGACCTCGTAAAGCGTAATGGCATAAGAGAGGAGAAAAAAAGCTTGTGACTTTCAGATGCTACACAGGACATTCTGGAGAAGGTAGTGGAAAGGTGGTCTGTATCACCAGAAGCCAGAAGGCACCCCCTCCCTGCCCCCAGACAAGATCAAAAGGTAAGTAGCCTTAGAGATCGATGCAATGAGCCAAACTGGTGGTCCTGAATGCGGTGCCAAAGGAAGCTCAACATCACATGAGTAAACAAGGTCAATGAACATAATCTCAGATGCCACATTCTACAAGTGCAACAGGAGCCTCAAATTGCCCAAATCGTCACACTCCAATTTCTCTCATTTGACATCTATTAATCACAATTCATACCAAATATCTACAGCTTTACCTACTCTCTGAACCTGACACTATTACAAGCTGCATACCCATATTTTCCACCTTGCACACTTCATCAATTATGGCAGTCATGGCAAACATACAAAAACATAAACAGGGACTACACAAACCCATCATTGAGAATCCTGCGCAGGACAACAAAAGTTGTTGCAAGTAAAAATCTTCTGTCAATGTCCCTCACTCAGCTGCAGATAAACCGACACTTGGATATATTTGTGTCGCACAGAATGTGGGCATCGCTGTTGCAGAGTTTGCAATCCCAACATTTCAGCTCTCCACCCTACTAGATCTGTCACTGGGGAGGAAACTGGAGTTCCCACTCTGCCCAACAAAGCCTGGAATAAAAAGTAAAGCTCAATGTAGCCTTGAATGGAGAAAGTGGTGGTTCTCTGTGTTGACAAGGCTGGGGCACACCACACATTCTACAATGACGGTAACAACAGTGTAAGCATGAATAATGTCTCACTGTGCGGCGTGAGGGGCATGAACAACAAATACATGCACACCGCTCCTGCAGGTCTGTCCGATATGGCACAAGTCCCCACCCAGGGTGCCCAGTGTTGATGCCCCAGGGCAGGGACACCAGCTCCAACATCACCCTCCCGGGGGACGGCCATTGGATACCTCTCCCTATGTCCTGAGTCCCAGACCTGGGGCCAAAACCCCCCCCATCAGCCACCTCCCCGCCCCACTGCGGCCCAGGCTCTCCCCGGCTTTTCCTGCCTGAGCCTCCCCGGCCTCGAGCACTGACTCCGGTTCCCGCCGACTCCCTGCTTTCCCCACCCCCATCCATCCGAGGCTCACATACCGCCAGCTCTTGCTTCCTCTTGACCAGCTCAGCCAATTCCCGCCGGGTGTCCGGAATTTGTGGGGTCTGCGCCTTGTTGTGCATCGCCATGTCGGAGCTGGCAGGCGAGCAGCGCCCGAGAGAGAAAAAACCGCTTCTTCAGGCCGCGGCCGGCAGGAGGGCGCAGGATGGACCTCCAACCAGCAGGGGGTGCCGCCTGGGCAAGCCTGCCACCATCAGGACTGAAGGGTGAATTACACTGAATACACTGCCACCGTCAGGACTGGAGGGTGAATTACATTGAGTACACTGCCACCGTCAGGACTGGAGGGTGAATTACACAGAATACACTGCCACCGTCAGGACTGGAGGGTGAATTACACTGAATAC